AAAAAAAAAAAAAAAAAGTCTTGAAAAGAGGATGCAAGTGCAAACAATGGGCCAATAATGCTCACGTGTGGGCTCGTCCACCCATTTTGATTCTGTGGGTATCAGTGAATCTATTTGGGCTAAACCCCTCAACTTTGATTTGGCCCAAGCATCCCATATTATATCATATCATCATTTGGCAAACGTCGTCGTTTTATCACGGTTAGGACTTGCAGATGCAGGTGAGCTGGTGAAGTATAGCGCACTTGGAAAACCCCCTTCGATAATAAAGTAAAATTTTTTTTCTTCTTCAATATGCAGTCGAGAAAGCTACAATTCCTTCGTTGTGCGATGATCAAGGTTTAAAGGTCTGCAATATATTTGTTCTGTTGATTGTTTTCTTTATGCTATAAATGTTTTAGGATCATTGATTTGTTTCGGTTGAGGCGTTGTCTGGATTTCGGTGATGAAGGACAAGAATTATGCTAAAACTTCTTTCCTCAGGCGAATTTTCGTCAACTGTTCAGCTCAGGTTTGTTTCCGTTGAGTAGTTCATCACCATAATAATAACTTGGCTTTGGTCCTGCAAAATGTATTTAGGCATTTGTATTAAGGCTCCTTGTGGCATACCTTAAAAGCTGTAATTTATATTAATTGTTTGATTTTTTATTATTTGTTTCCATTCCGGTATGGAAATCGGAGTTTATCATGCATTACATAAAGAAAATTTTGAATGTTGTTGATCAAAAGCTATTTTGTTAGTTCTTTGAGCTCTATGATCCAGTGTGTTTCCAATGGGTAGTTCTAGAAGATCAGTTTAAAACGTTGATTTTTGCTGCACCTCCGTGCAACCAAGAAATGAACAATGCCATTCAAAACTTGGATTTTGGAGTTCTTACCATGGATTTTTGCCATTCTTACGAAATTGCTCATTGCTGTGTATGTGATTTTTACTTAATGTGTTTTTCCTCAAAGCTCGTTACTAGTTCTGTTGGTAGATGGAATGGAAATTCCAAACCTTAACCTGCTTCTTTATTGTGTGACTCTCTTATGGTTTCAAATAAGGTGAAAGTTATCTTTCCTTCTGGAGATATTGATAGATGATATGTATTTACTTATTGTAGGCTAAACAATATGGAAGCTGTGTTTCTTCAAGAGTTCCAGAAGTTGAACAGGACATGTGTTTGAAAGAATTCCTTGCCTTAAAATGTTGCATGCAGAACGTGGTATGATAAATTTAAATATCTGCTTCAGTTCCTCTTCACTCATGATTTTTGCCACATCATTCTTTTATTACGTGTATTAATTCATTGTTTTTTACTCTCCAGGTGCGCGGGAAGATTTGAATCCAAGACACTATAATATCAGAGAAATATAGTCGTTCATTGCCTTGGTGACACTTCAATTTGGAAATTGTTCTTCATATATGTGCTTGATCGGTAGAGAATCAAGATTCTTCAGCTGATGCTTTCCCCCCACCTCAAGATCTATAATAATAACTGTCAGGAGAAATTCAGTAGCATGATTAGAGGAGCATATTCATCTACTTAGAGAAATTCAGTAGCATGATTAGAGGAGCATCTTCATCTACCAATTCTAGCTTTAGTGGATCTAATGCACTCTCACATGTTTACATTCAATACCCACCTCTAAGATGCCAAGTTCCTGGATCAAAAAGTTTGTTTTATGATGACGGGAATAAACTGCTTCTCTCTTTGACATCTAATCAGGTATCGCTCACGTACCACGCTCGTAGGCAAGCAGGTTTTGAAAATTCTCATTTGAATTATATATTTGCATTCGTAGGTTTTCTCATGGAAAACTTTTCCATATAATCTGAATGTTGCTCCTTCATCGGATCCAATAAGTGAAGGACCTGTGCTTTCTATGCGATATTCGTTAGACCTCAAGCTTTTGGCTATCCAGCGATCTAGACATGAGATACAGATCTGGAACAAAGAGACTGGAGATGTTTATAGTCAAAAGTGTAGGTCCGAGTCAGAAAGCATTCTCGGTTTCTTTTGGACGGATTGTCCTACCTGCGACATTGTCTTTGTGAAAACCAGGTAACCACTTAAATCTCAGTCTTCAAAAGGTCATGTTTTGTATTAATTCGCAGGATACTATATCCAAGTCATTCCAGTCATATCATGAAGTGAGGATTATATTTAATCAAATTTCTACCAGTGACCTTGCTTAGATCATTATTTTTGCCTATTTCCATCTAGTATGACATTGGACTGTTCTGTAGATAATAGAAAAGCAAATATCACAAATACAATAAGAATCTACACGATTTTTCCATTTGAAGGACAGAAATGATGTTTACAATCGAGCTGCAAGAATATTGGAGAGATCTCTGTATTCGTTATTTTTTTTTTTTTCGATGTATGATTGCAGTGCCCTGGAGTTCTACACGTACAATACTGAGGGCAGGTTCCTCCGTTTAGCCGAGACGAAAAAGTTGAACATTAGTTGGTATATCTACACCCATGAAAGCAGGTTGGTGCTTCTGGCCTCGGGAATACAGTGCAAGAGTTTTACTGGTTATCAGGTAGGAATGAGGATATGCTCAGCTAATTGATCCCAAATCCCTTTATTTTTGCCTACCTCTACCACTCTTGTCTTCAAGTATTGCATCTTTTTTTTTTTAGATCGTTTCTCTCTGCTGCTAGTTTGAGTGAGCAATATATAATTGTCATGTTAATGATGACGGTTTCAATATTACAGTGAAATTTATAACCTCGCCTTTGTTTTGGTCAATTTGACATGTATATAACTGTATTTTATCCCATCATTAAACAACACAGACACACAGTGATTTTTGTTTTTGTACTTATAAGTACTTTTTCTTTGTTATGACAAATTTATTATTTCTTTTAGTTGTCATCTTCTGGAATAGTCCGCCTACCCAGGTTCGAGATGGTGATGGCCAAACGTGAGGGTAATAACAGGCCCATTCTTGCTGCCGAAGATGTCCATCTTATCACTGTGTATGTTTTCTTCCTTTGAATATCAAACTAATTCATTAAATGTCCAAAAAGTTTTATACTGTTTATTAATACCTGGTACTTCTATAAATTTGACAGGTACGGTCGGATTTATTGCCTGCAGTTTGATAGAGTTGCAATGGTACTAAACTTGTATAGGTTTTATCGAGATGCTGTTGTACAGCAGGCAAGTGCTATTTTCTTAAATCCATTTTATTAAAATGTATATATGTATCTTTTACTACCTACCAGATGCGCGTGCTGCCTCAGTTTGTGTTTTGGCAACAAGGACTCATCTGAGTTTTCTATTAAGGGTTTATGATGGAAATGCAAATGAAAGATATGCATGCAAAACACTTTTTACTTAATTTTTTTTCCAACAATATAAACACGCAAGGTACTCCATTTGTAACTGAGAGAATATTACTTTGCAATTAAATGAAGATATGGATCCATCTTGGTGCTTCTTAAGACTGTTGTTTCAGTAGTATTGTGCTTTTTTTTTTT